ATAAAAAGCATTTTACTTGGTGAGATCCTATGTTTTTCTTACCTTGTAGCCAGCGTGATTCTTGTCAACTGGAAAACTGAAGTCACACGCTGATGGATCATTAGCATCACTATACACACTAGTGACCTCGGGCAACACTGCCCACCCTCTTATCAAAGTGATCTTTATTCCAAAAGAAAAAAATCTAAGTTTATTGTACCCTCAATAAATCATACCTCTCTACTTTCCGTCAATCCTGTGGTGATCACAATGTATTTATAATAAGGAAAAGAATTCCTAAATACTCCCAATGTATTTCAAACCACAGATAGTGTAAGCCTCAGTGAGTTCACAAAAGGAAATTATTAGCAGATGAATGTACATTTAATATAAACAAATACAGAAAAACAATACACGCTACGTTTTTGAACCGTGACCCTGCTATTGACCTATTAGAACATCAGAAGATCAAAATACACCAATCTTTAAAAGATACCATGCATCAAAAAAGCTAGGAGAGAACAACAGGAGACTCAGAGATCTTAATTCATTATGGCTTACTTGAAGAGTCCTATTAAAAACAAATCAATCACTGTATATTAAAAAAAACGAGTATTTCTATCAGGAAAGACAGATCTGGGCAAAGACAGAGGCAACAAGGATAGGTCTTTTGCAGGAAGTTGTCTGTTTTTCTAAGACAGACCTAAGTTCTCACCACTATGCACTGCAACCTTAAAAACTGGAGTGGGAAGGGTGGAAAATAAGGCAAAAGAAAAAAATATATATACAATCTTTTTTCTGTTAATTACCTGCAAATATACATATTTTTTTCTTTAATTTCTTTTTCTTTGAATACACAGACATAACACTTACCTCTAATAAATGTGAAAAAATCAAATCAGACCATTCTATGTTTGTTTTAAATTTCCTAACAAATAAAAATCAAATGCAAAGTACACCGAGATACAAGTCCTATGATTCTAAACACAGCTACATTCTGTATCAAGTCCATTAAGTGTTATATTAAGGTGTGCCCTATGGAAATCCAGCCAAGGATGACTGCCAAACTAAGCTATAGAAGACAGTCCCAGAGCTGGTGAGTGCCATGACAGAAGTTATATTTTAGAAAGCACATCAGACTGCCCAGTCTACAGGATTATCTGATATCGCTTCACCCTCTTAACACTCTTGTATTTCTTTTTGTCACTGAAACACGGGTCAGTATTGGACATGACGGGCATCCTGACAAGATGACATTGTAGAGACGCCGGTAACCTAACTAATCCAAAAAGTAATATCCTACTTTTATGCCCAACTCTAAGAACTGCATCTTTCTGCCAAGCAACCTAAAAGGTAAACTGATTTCCTCGAGCCTCAATTTCCACATATAAGAAACATAAATCACAATATATTCTTCTTCACCAGATTCTAAAAATGGAAACTAGCTAAGAAAAACTGAATGTGAAAACTGAATGTGAAGCACTACGGAAAGAATAAACTAGATTCCTTGACCTGGTTATTGGTCAGAACCTTGTAAAACTAGAATTACTGCCTCTTCTAATTCCATACATGCCACCTGGCCATCAAGCTGACTGATAATAGTAGTGACTGCACAGTTGATGCACCTAAAGATTTTAAAGTAGTAGTAGCACATGTCGTGTTATGATGTATTTTCCTACCATTTAAGTAACTACCTGAAAAGAAAGTCTACTTCTGGGCATTATAAAAGTAGATATAAAAAAATGAATAATTACAACTTTTGGAACCTCAAAAACTTCTCAGAATAGTCAGCAGCAGGTATAGCAACCAATACCGAGGCAACTATGCAAAGACTGAAAATGGATTAACCCAAAAGAAATCGCAAGCAGTTTTACCTGATGGGCCAAAACACAATAAGGATTATTTTTATATTGTTCTGTCTGAGTTGTCTATCTCAGATTCCTAACTTCCAGATTCTATTTTTAAAATCACTTAACACTGTGTATTTCCAGTAGCCATCAAGGCCTATGCTGTCATTCCTGACACCGAAGATTGTCAGCAGACTCAATATGTACACTAATGATCTCAGGCAACAATGCCCGTGCTCTTATCAAAGTCATCTTTATTCCCAAAGAAAAAGTCTAAGTTTCCTCTATGAAAATGCGCTCTAAAACATTGGAAGGAGTCACTATAAAATGTTAACACCACTAATATTTCTTACTTCTTTTTAAGGTTATCATATACACTAAACTTTAAAACCAAAAACTGTCAGGCGTTATAACATTTTTAGTTCTCTCCCAAGTCGCCAGGGCTCTCTTCTTGCACTGTCAAATAATGATAGCTGCTGTCATTATTTTTTACACAATAGCTGGCAGCAAGTTGTACAGATACCCTTCCTCTTAGAACAGGTACCAAATACCCTAAACAAACAACTGGGACCTTACAGTAATACTGACCACTTTCCTCAAGCCAAACTAAGTGGGCTTATTTCAATTTATTGATATTTTATAACCAGAATGGTACATACAATACAAATGTTTATTTTATTTTTTATGAACTATTTAAAAATAACTTTTCCCCCTTACACATGAATCTCTCCTTCCTGCTACTACAGACTCTTATTTCCTTATGAAGGTTTTCACATTTACTTTTGGCTTTAATACTTTGAATTAAAAAGTGTACTTCTGTGTTTAGAAGCATCAGTACTCTAGGAAATAAATTTGAACACATGAAAAAAATTTTGAGAATAAAGTTTTTTCACTTTACAAAGTCAAGAGTGTGTGTAAAGGGATAAGGAAAACCAGTGCTCTCAAATACAAATGACTTGACAGGTCTCCTGCTCAGAAAAATTATTCCAAGTCACAGAAAAACATCTGAGGGACTGATTCTAGGTCTCTGTTCTAATTAACAGACAAGAGTCCCTCTCTACCTCTACTTGCTTTGGCAATCTAAAATGCTGATATTCTCCTAGATCTAGCAGAGGAAAAATGGGTATCTTCTCCATCTAACACCTAAGTGGGTAACCTAGATACTGTAAATAGAGGCTACATAAAGGATGCAACAGACAGCTCTGAAGTGAGAGCCAAAATGTTTAACCTGCAACTCTTTGGAAAAGAACCTGAAAACATGTGCAGCTTAGCCAAAAAGTGTACTAACATGGAACCGCCAAAGGCTAGAAAGTTAAAACACACACAAAAAACTCTTTACCAAACAGAAGTTTACTGTCGTTGGGTGAGAAAAGTGTGAATGTAAAAAGCACAGTTCTTATGTGTACAAATTAATCACGCCTACACTTCGGACTAGTTATGTTAAAAGATGAGTGAGCTGCTTTTTTGAAGTAAGTGTTTACAAAAGCAGAATCCATTTAACAAATAAAGAAGCAATTAATTAGTTAGTTTCCTGCTGACATTCTGCTGGTGACCAGGGGATGACAGTCAAGTCACTGATTATCAGGCATTTTCTACTCCATAGATACACTGTTTCCAAAGCCAGTAATGAAATATTTAACAAATAAAAACTACACATAAATCTGTCTTGACTCCTTAGGAAACCACATGAAAAACTTTCTGAGAAATAAAAACACAGCCCACCAAAGAACTAGTAACATTAAATATTAAAATATAAAAATTATGTTGCCTACATTGTTGTAGTAGTGTAACTTTTATCAAATCAAGCAAAAAATGAATGCTACGAGATCATTATAAGATATTAGCACAATAAATGAATATACAGTCAGCAACTTTATTAGTGTTGCCTTTCTACATGATGAAGGAATTTCAAGCCCTGCTTCTGGGATGAAATTTTGTTCTCTCCATCAATAAAAAGGAGGAAAACCTTTTAATAAAGTAAATTCAAATAGTTCAATCATAATTTCCATAGCTAAAATTCCTCAAAATTAATGAATTACAAAGTAATTACAGATACTGAAGAGTAATCTCTATACTTCTGCTTGTAATTCACCAGTCTTCACTAACTACAAAGCTTATAGCTTTACATTAACTAAAGTTTTAAAGGCTCTAGGAGGAAGTAGAAAAGTCCCCTCAGATGATCAGAATTCACTTCAGAATAAGCTTATAATTAAGGAGATGATGCGGTGTCTTTGTTTAATCTTCAGAAAAGGAAGGAAAAACTGTGACTTTCCTTCACATGTCACCGAAACAGAAAAATTATATTTACATGTAAATCATATGTCCTGTCTACATAAGAAAAAAATATATAACAGAAATGTAAGCAAACAAGATCACAAATATTTCTGAGCAGAAGTAAGAGAACACTTCTGTTTGATAACTAACCTGACACAATACTACAGTTAAGAAAAGATCTACTCCATTCTTAATAAATAAAAGTATTCGGTCTTCTGTCACTGACAGCATATAAGTTGCTTTCTTATTACACAAACGCGTGGACTATTCCAGTGAACAACCCTTTCCTAAAAACAGTATCAAAACGTCTATTCCTATAGCCAAAAAACATGCTTCTAAATTTTCTCAGTTCTTCTCTGTGCATTCTAAAATAAAATGCCTCCAACTTTGTCAGAAAAACAGATGCAAATGAGTTTCATAATTTTTCAATTACACTTCACTCCATGGTCTGAAGGAGCAACTTTCACATTTTTTAGCGCAAGTAACACTGCAGTTCCACCCCTGATGGTTTAACTTTGTACCAAAGCAATATAAAATTACTTCATTTTTTTTACTATAAAGAGTCCTCTGGAAGTGACATGTTTCCGTATTTTTTATCCAACAACAACAACAAATCCAGTCATAAACCTGGCAAGTCCAAACAATAACCAGCAAACCCTACCATTTCTTACCTGATACAGGTAAGCACCAGCTCCCAAATGCCACCTTAGGATAGTTCAGACTAGTAATCAGGCTCATGTTTTATGATACTAGAATGAACAGGAATAAATCTGTGTTGTTCTTTCTTTAGCAAAATCTATAGCAATAGCTACACCGCAACATGAGCAGACCCCATAGACCTAACAAATTCAAATCTGTCGCTAGAGAAACAGAAGAAAATATCATAAAATGAAGACTTACTGCTTGTCATGTGACTTGGTGAGGCATGCTGTCCATTGGGTGTGCTTGAGGTGAGGTCAATTGCCATATTGGAGTGCTCCCTTTCAGGTGAAAGCTCATTGTCACCTGCTTTCACAAAATACAGTCTTTTGGTTTCTGTTCATTGTCACACAAACTCTAATTACTCACATTCTTTCTTAGACACAGTGGCATGCAGCCTGGAATTTTTAAGTAATACATTTTTCACTATAAAAGAAGCCGTAAGGAACTAGCTTTCAAAAATATGTACTACATGTATAAAATGACAATTTTATAAAAACCACAATCAGCTCACGATGAAGAAATTAACAAAACTTTTTATCACAATACTACAAGCAAAGTAAGAGGAAAAGCAGCAGCTTATTTCTCAAGAATCTTTTAGTTGAAAAGAGTAAGTTTTGTTTAACATCCGATTTAATTACTGAACATGAAGTATTTATAATGAGCATTTCTGAAAATGCAGGCTATTAGAAAGTTAGATGGCTGAAAAGAGAGCTTGCTAAAAAAAAAAAAAGTCAACTTACAGAATCTAATTCTTTCACATTATGTGTCCAGAAGAATTAGATTACAGAGTAGAAAATATTCTGTACACACCATACTAAGAGATATATTGAACCTGACATATTCAAAACTTACGTAAATAGAAAAAAAACAAGTAGAAAAGTGTTGACATGATGGATTTAAATAGCCTTAATTGAATCAGCAGCAAGTAAATAGTCATTATTTCCTTTTTATTTCACCTTTGGGCTATTATTTTCTCCAATTCAAAGACACACTTATGAACAGAAAATAAGAACACAGAATTCTTAACACAATCTATAATTCAGAAAGTAAAATACAGGTAATGCAAAGGTAACTTTATTACCAATAACAAATCAATGAAAAGGAGTACTTACATGTGATATAGCCATCAATAGCCTCTGTTTCCATAGTCAAAGTGCAGTGCTGCAAAACAAAACGTTACAGCCTTAACACAACGACTCCTTTTAATATCTGCCATGAAACGCTTAGCTTATTTGAACCTCCGAGCAGTTAGTCCATGCTGGTGCTGCAACCTGTGCCCAAGAAACATACTGCTGTGTACTGTATGTGCTCATTTGCAAGTCACTGAACTCTTTCTGCAAATGATCTGATTCCTGCTGGAGATAGGATAGGAAAGATAAGTGTACTGTGAGATGGGCTCTAGCGAGAAAGGAATGGCTCATCTTAATCAAAATTGACTTGTTTCACTGAAAGGGGGGAGGATTATACCTTGAATTTGCCACTCTTAACGAGATTTAAGTATTTTACCATTCACTACTTCCCACAATCACACTGCAGTTTGAGGACTTCCCCAGTATACAGATAGCTCTATTCACAATTGTTGCAAGTTGGTTCATCATGTTCTAAGAGGGAGGGGGAGGACAAATAAACACAAGAAAACAAAACAACTTCTCGCCCAACTGTGTTTAGAAGACTTCTGCAGCAGCGGTTAGCCAACTCTCTGGCTTGTACTGACATTTTAGCCTACCCTCAGGTTCTGGGTAAGCACCTGTTCAATGTAACCTTAATTTCCTGCCAGACCATGGTTGGATACAAATGCCAAGCTTATTTAATATGTTCCGATTCTGAAAATTTCAGCTACGTTCAGCGTGCAGGAGGGAATCACTTTTTTTAAGTTTGGGGCATTTTTCTTAGGCACCAATGACATGAACCAGAACTTCACTCACAGAAATAAAAGTAAAGCTGTATGGGATGACACCCCCTAGCTCTGATTCACATAATGAAAAGATCAATAATCTAACTGTATTCTTTGAAGGAAAAAGTTTAAGAATTGACAAGTGCTGAAGAGATTTTTACTTATTTTTTTTTCCTTTGGCCCTGGTCCTTTTTGCCTTTAGTTTCAAAACTCTCACAGCACCAGCAGCTAAATTATTCACAATGAGCCATTTCTGTATTGATCGCCAAGTATATTTAGCCTGGGCTCCTGGAATTTCTCCATTACTTACTGGAAAACAGGCAGCTTCACTTCTTGTCTCCAAAACCACTTCCCTTCTCCCTCCCCTCCCCTCTTTCACCACCACCCTCCCTAGCCCCCACCCCCCAAAAAACTTTTCTTTCTTTCTTTATGGAATAATCATATCAAATTCCCAACTCAGTCACTACATAGCACTTATATTTCAACCTGCTGCACTGTTATCAAATTCTTTCAAATTATGATTACATAAGGCTTGAAAGAAAGGGATCCATAAAGTTTAAAAGAAGAGCAGTTTCCTCGGATATTTTACAAATGAGTTCATCTCTTTAAAAATGTACACATTTAACATACACATATTAAAAAGAAAGAAACGTCAGGGAGAAGCGAAAGTAGTCTGCTCCATCAATGAAATGGTTATTAACCCTCAGAGAAGTAAAGAAAGAAAAAAGGAGAAAGAGAAACGAAATGTACATACAAAAGAAATTGTCCTTTGATTAAAAAAGATTCATCACCATTTCCAGCTCTGCCGGGAGATCTCAGCTTCTTCTAACCCCTCAAAGAGGAGGTGACAATGTCGGGCTGAAGATACACGGAGAGAGAGAGAAAGAAAGAAGTTTTCTGTGTCCCCCTCTCTCTTTCCCTCCCTGGCTCCCTTCAAGCCAAGCCCCCTGCAGAGTTCAAGGCGAGAAGGAAGGAAAAGCACTTTACAGGTGGGTCATTCCAAGCCTCCAAATCCAGCAAACAGATCGGCTGATAAACAAAACCAAGAAATGAGAGAGAAGGAACACCCCCCTCTCCTCCTCCTCCTCCTCCTCCTGTTCCCCTCCCCCCGTCCCTTTGGGATGGTCTAGTAGGAAAAGTCACTCAGGAATGGCACCACGTACTTTCAGGAAAGAGGAAAAAAAGAGAGAGAGAAAGGGAGGGAGAGAGAGAGAGGTCAGTCAGTGCTACAGCAATGCGATTAACAAGAAGAGAAAAACTTGATCCACCGGTTCCTTAAGAATCGACCAAAAGCTAAGACAAGAAAACTGAAAGAAAAAAAGAGGGGGCATAACAGGGGAGGGACACTCAGGCAGAACCCAACAACGAACCTAGGCCAACTTCAGCGGACTGTTTTTGGCCTTTGGCAAAAGAAAAAGAAAAGAAAACAGGGGAAAAAAAAGAAAAGAAAAGAAAAGAAAAAACCAAAGAAAAAAAGAAATTTAAAAAGAAAGAAAAAGGAAGGAAAAAAATTAAATCTTAATTTCATCTCTCTCACCCATACTAGAACCTGTCAAAGTGATTTAACTGTTGCCTTTTTTACATGTGTCATGACAGTTTTTTTGGTCTTTGTTTTTTCGCTTTTTCAATCCCAACAAGAACTGTATATTACCTTCTATCTGGACAGCTGCAATTTATTCCAAGCTATCCAATCTTTCTTCTTGGAATTCAAGTTAAAACAAAGCAAAACAAGTCCAAATCCATGACAGCTATACAGATGAGAACTGATTAATCGATTAACATCCCAGAAACAGATTACAAGGAGGGGACAATAAATTAAGGCAGAGGACATCGTCTCCAACCCGATTCCCTGAGCGTCCTTTACAGAAATCGTTACTCTAATCATAACCACAATCCATCCCTCCCCAAGAAAAACACCTATATTATTATTCCTGATTAACAGCAACAAGTCATTTGATCACATCACAGTGCACAACGAGATGCTATATAATTACACTTAACTTTGAAAACACTCCCCCCCTTTGCAAATCATACACATTCATAAATATATATATATAATCTATGAATCAGAAGACAAAACAAGAGCTGTTCTTCCCCACGCCAAAGCCAAGCGGAGATTTACCTCAGCAGTGCATGCAGTAAAATAATCCCATCACCCTTTTGTTTGTGTTTACTGTTAGTGTGTCCTCTCTCTTTCTTTCCTGTGCCTAACGTGTGTTTGTGCACTGCAGTTGGTGGTGGAAACTAAGGCAGTGGATCTGGAGCTAAGGGTAATCCTGTTTTTACTTCCTCCATCTTCAGCGAGGAGCAGGGTTAGCCCGGGACAGCTGGTCAAACCCCGAGAAACCGATCCGGCGGAGCCCGAGCACATCTCCCCCGCCGGCCGGGCTCGCGCAGACGCCCGCGGGCGGAGGGCGGGCTGGCGGCGAC